TATATATATATATCCATTGGATGATAAAAGAAATAAGTCAATGAATTCAAATATTTATAAAATCAAGCATACATTGTTAGCCAATATTACAGCTTTTCTACTATTTTTTAAGCCAAATCTCGGGTTGATCAGAAAGTGCAAGCATGTTCACGTCCAGGCTTCTACTTTCTGACTTAATAATGCACTACAAGTGATCACGTTTTTAATTAGTTACTTTAATCATAATTAAATAAAAGTCATTCTTAAACCAAAATCTCTAAAGATGCAACATTAGATTTAATGCATTTTATAATATGAACGCCAATGTCACGTCTCATTATCCCATAAATGACGTACTAATTATTTTGGTGACACACATATATCCATACATATACATACATACGTGGATATATATACATACATAGATATACATGCATACATATATATCCAAATAATTCTGATATTTATTAAATTTATCATAATATATTTCAGATGAAATACTCGGCATATATATATATGTTCTCCCCCATATGGCATCGTCCTCGCTCGGCTCTGCTAGGGTTTCGCCCGATGGCGAACCCTAGCAACAGTCACGATAGCAACAGTCACGACTTCAATCTCTCTCGCTCGCGTGTTCTTCTTCGCGCTCGAGTTCGTCTCTCGCATTTCTTCCTTCTCGGGCTCGCTGTGATGAGACGAGGCTCGCTCCTCTGCGGCCCGTCTCGCAGCTCGCTTCTGCGGCTCAACCTCGCGGGAACTGCTTCCTGCGTTCTCTGCGCTCGTCCCTCTGCGGCTCAACCTTGCGGGAACTTCCGTTTCCTGCGTTCTTTGGGCTCGTCTGCTTTCTTCTCTACAGGTCTGTCTAGAGGATGACTTCAGACAAATCATATGCAGCTACTCTTGCCAGTGTCCACGCCTCAGGCACACCAAAATCATCATTTTTACCTCCTTCGTTTGAGTGGGCGGAGGACATAAGAAAACCTGATAAGAAGAATGGGAAACCCGTCATCTTTTTTACAGAAGTTGAAAGTATTCAACTTGCTTCCTCCTATCGTCTGAATTTGGTTGGGATATGGACTTTATCCCAAAATGGAGCTCATTCTCAAAAAATTTGAACTTATGCACGTTGTTGGAGATTGAAAAATTGGACTATTAGATGAGAGACACATTCTTATTCAAATTATTAATGAAGATGATTACATGCGCTTCTTTGCTAGAATGATACTATGGATTGATAACAGAACAATGAAAATTTTGAAATTGCCTGTGAATTTTGACCCACAGACGGAACCACCAATCATTCCGGTTTGGGTTCACCTCCCTGGCTTGAAATTTTATTATTTTAATTAAGAAGTGTTATACTCTATTGCTTCAGCCTATGGTAGGCCACTCAAAACAGAAGCTCTATTGTCTCAGCTTATGGGAAGTCACTCAAGACGGACATTCCTACTTTTAATTTGTCTCGTCTTTCTGAAGCTAGAATACTTGTTGAAAGGCATCTGAGAAAATCTGCATCTGAGAAAATCTGGTTGGGCACACAACACCAGGGATATTGGCAGAAGGTAGAGATTGAACCTTTTCCGTCGTATTGTTCGAACTGTCGTATGTTCGGACACTTCAGTTCGCAATGTCACCATCTACACCCCCAACTCAGATCAAAAAAGCAAACTGCTCCGCTAGAGGTTGTGATTCCATCTCCTCTTGATCAGACAGACAATTTGACAACTATTCAATCCCCAGTTATAGATCATTCGTCTTTGGAATCTTATCGTGGGGGAGAGGGAGTTTTTTCAGACCCCACCTATCCTAGAACCTATCACTGATAAGACAGGTGAAAATATTTTCTACTACTTCACAACTGCATCATCAGGTCCAAAATAAAGTTAATATTACTCAAGCTCATGGGGGTCAAGACATGCAACAACCTACATCTATCCGACCACCTTTGGAAACTACTGATCAGATGAGTCAATCAACGGATGAGAAATGACAAGTCTACACATCTAGGAGGAAGAAGAAGAATGAAAATCTACTTGAGCTCAGGAATCTAATGGATGATACTTTTGTTACTACGGGCAATGGTACACACCTTACTAATTTGTTAGCCGGCTCACTTCCGAGAACTAGAGGGAGGAGAACTAAAGTGGGACGTCCCTAGCGCTTTTGTGTCATTTTGTGTTTTTTGGTTTTTTACCTTTTTGTATCTTTGCTTTATTTGGATTTAGTGTGTGTTGTATTGTATGAGTTGAGTTTTCTTTTAGGTCCTCTAATACAACTTTTTTTGTATCGTATTAATATATTTGCCCTCAGGCTTTTTCTTCAAAAAATAAAAATAAATAAATAAATAAACCTTTGAACATAATTAAACTATGATGCTACTTGCTTAAAACATTTTTGTGCGGAAGGCATACAATATTTACGTCCCTATTCTCAATTCCAAAAGCTTTTCTGGAATTTTATTATTTATAAAAATGGACTGCATGTAGAAACATTGCACTTGTTTCTGCAAATTTGGCTGTACATGAATATGAGGAATTCAATCTCATGCTCTCGTGGCCTGATCGAATGAACTCGACTACTCATCGTAGCACCGACCGTGCCGATAGAGGCGTTACGGAGGACGATCGGTCAGAAGCACAACCAATAGAGAAACATTTATAGAAGAATTGATAAGTAAGGCAATGCATTGTAAGAGTAATATTTTAATGCTTCATCTTTAGCATCTCCTTCTAGAACCTAGCGATAAAGCTCCTCGACAACTAGCCTACTTTCTGCAAATTCTGTATTTGTTGCTAGGAGCTGGAAAATTCTGAGACAAAGGTTCTCTTTTGTTCGACAAACAATATAATTGTCCAAAATGACAAGTAGGAAAAAATCACCAGATGGTCAACAAATTCAAAACAAACAAGACCATTTGTTGATCAATTTTTCCATTGTAAGAATCAAGATGTGGATTCTTGAACTTTTTTCAACAGCAGTTTCCTTTTTACAACATGCCTCTTTTCTCATAAAGATTAGGGAGATGAATCTTCTTTGTGATCATGATAATAAGCTATCAACTTCTGCTATAATGAAAGGCAAATCTCTTATTCTTGAATGCCTCCCTTTAGTCTTTGATAGCTGCACCCAAGGAGTTGCTCTAAGTATCTGCTTCAGAATCGTCTATAAAATCTTCCCAATTCTATCTTTTCTCTTTACCAAACATCTGAGACGTCACAAAATCTGGCTGCTCCATGCTGACTAAAGACTCTCCACTTTACTCAGTTCATAAATTATCCATTGATTATACTAAGTCCCGCTAGACTTCAATGAAGAGAGGAGAACAATGACATATTTATAAGTTTAAGTTAAGATTTTAGTGGAACCCCAAAAAAAAAATGTATGATTCAGAATAAAATGAGCCTAAGTTGTACATACAAACCTCAAAAAAAAAATGTACATACAAACCTCTTCAGTCAATCATCAAAAAAATATAAGGTACATAACATACTTTAAGTTATAGGCCACTTCATGTGTAAACATTCAACTATTAGTTGGCCTATCAAGCTCATCCAAACGAGCAAGCCCATCTTAAGTCCTGAGAGTTCTCCATGAGATTTCGGAGCTCACCATCAATCCAACATGTAGGCTAAATATCCACCCACTTGGGCTAATTGAAGTAGGTTGCAAACGAGCCGAGCTCAGTTTGGACTCTGTGTTGGGCTCATTCGAAATTATTTGTTTTTGAAATTGGCTGGTGTTTGAAATCGGCTTGTGAATAGCGTGTTCGTGTTTTGTTTGATTTAAATATTGTTGTTTGTATTTGGCTCGTTAAAATTAATTATAAAAAATAGACGGAGTGTTGGATTCAAAGCTGAACCAAAACTATGCAAAAGAAAGCGGAGACCACATTACCACACAAACTGTTATGATTTGAACTTATATATATAATGTATAATATATTATTATATAAATGATATATATAATATAGTAGTATATAAATAATTATATAAATTTTTTTTTTTTGAGCTAAAACAAGCCGAACACGAGCTGTTTGCCAAAAAGTGAGCTTTTTTTACCGCCCTAACTAAAGTGCATAAGTGTTGAGTTGGGCAATTTTATTATTTTGAACCTTCAAAATATTTGAATGTACAAAAACTCATCATTATTTGAGCATTTCATACATATTTCACTATATTAATAATATTTCTTATAATTACTTGATTAAAAAGAATTGCATTATTTAAAATTGATTCAAGTTAGACAAATTGCAATAGTTGAAACTTACAACTAACAGCTTCAAAAAATACACCACCATCAACGTTTTGAAGACAGACACCTTCACCACCATAATGCATCCACATGCCACCAACACTATTGCTTAGTCACAAAGCCACAACCACTACCCCCTAAACCCTAAACCCTAAACCCTAAACCCTAAATCCACACCTATTTTCAGGTCATACTTCAATACAATTGAAATCTATCATAACAACATCATTTCAATATATTTAATTTTCACATATTTAAAAAATTTATAAATTTCTAAAACACATGTATTTCAATTAATATATATTTCTTAAATATATTTTAAAAACAACCAACCAAACAACTTTTTCATAGTAGCAAAAAAAAAAGAAAAAGAAAAAAAAATCAATTACATACCGACCATCGGAAACTTTCTATTTACAGATCAACCACCCTTTCACCCATTTTTCAAATTTTCATTCAAATATCAAAATTCATGATAAAACCAGAACCCATATTTTTCATTTTTTTTTAATCAAAATTCTCAATAGTCAGATTATGACACGCATAAATACATGAGTAGTTCAAAAAATCACTTGGATGGTTGATTTGTAAATATCAATGTTTAGGGTGGCCTGTATGAAATTATCCCAATAAAAAAAAAAATCCATAACATAATGTGAAAATTGATTTAAAAAACTCACTAAATGGTCAATAAAACTTACTAAATGTTTCGGGTGGTCTGCATGTAATTATCCCAATAAAAAAATCTGCAACAACATAATATGAAAACTGATATAAAAAAAACTCACCAAATAATCAAATATAACTTGGTATGCCACAAATTGCTACAGAAGCGGAAATTAAAAAAAAAAGTTATAGCAATAATAGGGCCAAGAACTAGAGAAAATATTAGGTCCGGATGACTAACGTACAGACGATAGAGTAGATTGCACCATGTAACCCTACGCACGCTGTTGTGCGATTCATGCCCTCAGCCGCACATCCGGTTGACCAGACGTGATATTTTCTCCAACAGCTCGGCGTCACAACTTAGCAAAAATTTTAAAAAAAAATGTGTAGCATCAAAATATAACTTAGCATGTCACAAATTGCTACTGAATGGGAAATGGACAAAAAAGTTACAGCTCCAATGCTAACAGGAGCGTTTAGTGTGTTCTTATTATTAGCATTGTAAAAAAAAAAATCATGTTGAGGAATATATCTCATTCTTTCTAGAGTTCAAGAATTGGTAGCTTCCTTGAGATAAGCAATAAGGTCTGCACGTTCCTGCGGCTTCTTCAGACCAGGGAACACCATCTTTGTGCCAGGGATGTACTGCAAGATTTGCTCAAATGTATATGGTTAGTTATTCTCTCAAAATTGAACAGCAAATGTATCTAAAGATTTCAGAAAGAGAATAAGTGATTCAATCGCATGCAATAGTTATGGTGATGAAGCCAATACAGTGTCTAAGATGATGATCCATGGAGGAATTCATGTGATTTACACATCTAAAGATGGATTAAACAAAAAGAATAAACTTGCACTGCTTTGATTCACAGCTAAAAAAAAAAAGTTCTGAAAGATTGAAAACAAAATTGAGATATAGGTTTTTTTTTTTCCTTTTTTGCAGGGTCATCCATATTTTTTCATTTTTATCAAATTCTCAATGGTTTGATCGCGTAAATATATTGGTTCAGTAGTTAAAAAAAATCACCTAGGTGGTTAATTTATAAATATCAATGTTTCGTGTGGTATAATGTAATTATACCTTTTTCTTTTTCTGCAACACATTTGGGGCCTAAAGATTGTGTTTTATATCCAATCACAACAAGATCTCTGGTCCAATGCCTAGTGAGTTGGGGGGAAAAAATCACCCTTTTTCTCTCTGATGATGCTAACATATCAAGATTTTTTCAAGGCTGTGGATTGGGCAGCATAACATTTCCATCAAATAAGATTAAAAAAATGTCAGCTTTGTTCCATATTGACCACTAAATTTATTAAAAACACTTATTTTGATATATCAACGATTGATTCTAACTAAGAGTAGTTTTCTATTTTCACATTCTATTAAATACCCCAAATTTGTATACCAAAATTTAAAATTAAATATGTATAATTCATGAAAAAAATATTAAAAGCCATGAATTCCCTGCCCCATTTTTACTAAAATAGTTACTAGAAACAAAAAATGTAATTAAAAGAATGATAAAACCTAATGAAAGAGAAGTATAACACAGTATAAAAAGACACGGACATCAAGAAAAGCATGGTAGAGCGTAATAGTACATCAGTTTCATACGCGCTACTTAAACATTAAAAAAAAAATGATATATTCTAAAAAATAAATAATCAGTAAATATGAAGGTTATGAACCGGACTAAAATGGATGTTATGAACTGCTAAATTGCTTGAATCCACCTTCATCCCAGGTCCCAACATGTGAACCGTCGCAGCCGCCTTTGTCAGCCATCACTCCGTTCAATCACACAACCTTTTATTTTCTTATTGTGATTCGCCCTTGCCGCCTTTCCGATTTCATAGCTCTTCCCGAGCTCAGAAACACCCTTCTGCACCACCTTAACTCGGTATATAATGATTGAAGGCTAGTGCGATGCAGCCCCTGCCCTTGCAGCTGCAAAGCCCTTCTATTTTTTCCTTATTTCAACCTAACATAGTTGCATCCTCTCCCATCCCTTCCTATTCTGGTTGACCACTGAGAATCTCATCCTATTCCCCAACCTTTGATGTCTCCCCACACAATAAGAGCCCACACCACAAGCCATTACCTCCCTTTTTGATCTTGTGGCCGTAAGCCCTCCTTTTGTCCCCCACCAAACCTGCCAAAAGTTCACTCATACAGAGATTTCACAGTTGCTAACAAAAAAATTTTGTTGTCAAATCATTTTCCTTTCCGCTTAAGAGTGCTCTGGAGGTCATCATTTTCACCCTATAACCATCTGTTAAGCCTTGCATTGCCAAACACCAAAGATTCTATAGGTGATCGGGTCTCTTATTATACTTCATTCTCTTTCTCGTTCTGGATTGTAATCAAATTAATCACACATATTAGTAAATATTTACTACAATAAAATAGTCGATTAGACTTGTTAAAATCTCACAATTTATTAGTTATGATCAGATTAGGTGAGTAAAGCTTTACAGGAGTGATTAAGTTGTAATCCAAGTTATTTAGTTCTGACAATAAACCTTTTAAAAATTGCATTCAAGTTTTTGATATTATAGAGTAGATGTTTACACATTTTCGATTTGTTTTATGATTTATACATTAAATTAGAACTTTTTGACATATAGCTATCGAGCATAATTTCATCCAACGACATCATTAATTGAATCTCAAATAGTTGGGAGCCTCATATTGTTTGCCTCAGAGTATATAACTATTATTATTAATGAATAAACATAACATTCGTTATTATGGGCATTACTTTTGTTATTTGTACTAGGTAGGTTTGTCAATCGGAGTTTTTTGTACTTCATTTATGTTACCATACACATGCCATAGAATTCTTTTATTTTTCATAATGAAATATCAGATCTGATTAATGTTTTCTTAATTTATTGCTACATATTTCATATTTATTTAATTGATTATAGTATTTACAGTATTGATTATTCCTTCGTGTTATTTATGTTTTAAATTCAAATTATGTAATTTATATTCATATATACTTATTAGAGAACATAAATCTAATACTAATTCTAATAATGACTTGTTTGTGATGTGTGGAATATGCACCCAATTCTAATAATATTATGACGATAATAAATCATTTATTATTACTAGCCAAACCGATAAGTTCTTTTAGAAATCGTTGGATTTTCATAGAATAAATGCATATCTTTTTTAATTTTTTATTTTAGGGTGTCATAGAAAACCATATGTATATATATATATTATAAGTACGAGCAATTAATATTTAAATATTACCAGACTAATTGACCATATGTAGATATATGTAAGTAAACCTAATATTGCGACATATAGATGTAACATAAGTGTATGGTTACAAATCAATCATGGTCATGATCATAAGCTTAATTGAAATCTAAATTATCTTATCATTTATGCTTTAATAAATAATTATAATTTGTTGGGTTTGACTTGACAAACTCAATTGTTAATATTATTTTATAGCAACTTCAGAGATAAATGATTGATGGACCATATATAGATATTCAAGTATATCTAATATTGTGTCATATATATATATATAATGCTAAGATATATATATATATATATTAGCATAGAAGCTATTTGTTGGGTTTGCTTCACCATCCTCAATAATATTTCCTTATAGCAGATTCTATCAAGTTGATCAATGAACCCTCGCCACAAAAGAAGATTCATAAACAGTAGATTTTGGTGGTTGTATTATTAAGTTTATGTATCAAATTTCATTTATTCTCTATTTAGGTTTTGGTTAGTTTTGTTTTCATGGATGTTTTCTTTCATGCTGCTTTCAGTAGATGCTATTTTTTATTATCTTGTTGAACCATACCTGTAACTTTTCAAGATTTAATGAAATAAAAATTTATCATTTCTTGGGTATGTTTATTATTCTTATTTTTGTATACATTTTATTCTTTTGTGAGTACAGAGTATGTTTATATATGTATTCATCACACTGAGTTGTAAGGGTGTCCCATCTTCCGAACTTGGTATAGCAGACTAGTAACTGGAAAATATGTTTTTATATTCAATATTGTTTGTCTCCTTAGGATTGTGTATTTAGAGTTATAATCAAACTAAGTCAAGTCGAGTATCTAATGAATTGGACTTGGCTTGGTCGAGTCATAAATTGTTTACGTTCAATTCGAGCTTTTGATGCAAGCTAAAGCCATGTGTTCATACTTGGCTTATTTAAATTTTTAACATTCATATTTAATTTGTATTTAGCTTATCTTATTAATTAATCAAGCTAATAATTCAAATGAGTACATCATTTTTCATAAAAAATAGTAAATAAACTAAAAATCTGAATAAGTACTCAATTTTTAAAATAAAGTTATTAACAAATGATTTTACAAATCTAAATATATAAACAATAAAATAAACTTTAAAATAGTATCTAACTAGCTTATACCAAGTAAATAAAATAATATACAAGTTATAAATATTTTTTTTAAAACAAATAATATAAATAAACGCTAACAAACTAATTCATTGGAATGAAAAGAGAATTTTGCATTAAATTTATTTACATATTGAGAATAAATTATAATATATTATTATTTAATATATAATTAAATAAGTTCTAGTTAATCTAATTTTTTTAAATAATATATTATATAAGTATGGAACATTTCATAAGTTATTTGTGGGACGACAAACAAGCTTGTTCGTGAATACTAATAAACAAGTTGAACTATATTTAAATTCGGTTCATTTAAACTTCAAGCTTTAAAAAAAATGTTCAAATTTGCTTATTTGTTGATTTGAAAAATATGATTCAGTATTAATCGAGCTGATTTTGAGTTGTTCATTAAGTGCATTGATTCTTTTACAACTCTATGCACCGAGATTATTTTAGTTTATTCCAATAATGATTAAAATTTATATGATTATTTAGTTATTTATTGTGCTTTGATTTTATATAATTTTCATTATATAAAATGACTCCTAAAAGAAGATGTGTTGCAACATTGTGAGCTACTGTAGTTGTCGTATCTATCCCTAGGGACCCCAGAATCCCGGCTCTCCCAACAATCATCATGTTGATACTGCCCAACCTACTGAGACTACTAGAACATGAACTCCAAATATGACGACTCTCATTAATATAATGACACATAATATCACTCATTTGTTACAAGTATTGCAACTCATAATGTGAAAGTAATTCAAGCCATAAAACGACATTTCCCACCATTGAAACTAAAAAAGCTAATTAATCGATAGAAAGTGCAAAAATTTTAATATAGGTCATCACTAACACACAAGTTAATGCTAGAATTAAAATTTTGTTTGTGGCAATAGCTAATAGGAGTCCAATAGATCGAGTGATGGATCAAATTCTGAAGCCATATTCTCCTACTTTTAACAACATTATGAACAAATTGAGTTGGATGTATAACTTCATGATATCAAGAAGAAACTTCCAGACATAAAGTGCCTCAACGGTGTAAAGTGGGCACAACTGCGATCCAACTATGTGAAGAACCTGTTGATTGGTGGGATTCACCGCTACAACACTTATGGATCCGATGTTGTAAATTCCTTAGTAGACTTTTGAGAGGTCATTTTTGGAGCAGTATTTTACTGTGGTGGAATGATTGCACCAAGCTTATGAATTACTTAAGAAAATTCG